GCCTTCCTGTTCCTCCGATACTGCTTGGCCTGCTGTGTTCATCCAGCTCTACACCTTGTTATCTCAGATTCTCCAGCATCTGCAGTTCCTGCTATCTATGATTGGTTGTCAGTTACCTGAACAGCTTGGGCTGTGAATAAGACAGAGAGAAGTTAGTTCAGATCAGGAGAGAATCCGGTAGATCTGCAGCCACCAAAATTCTCTCTCTCACTCCTCTATAGTAAGCCACTTTAAACCCAAAGAACTCAAGCCTATCTTCCCTTCAGCAGTTAATGCAAGCTGTGACTTTAAATTGGATAAGTCAGAGACTTATATATGAACCAACCACCTTGTGTCCCGTGTAAACCAGTGGAAGCATTTGGAAAAAGGAGGGTCGACAAAAAGACTTTAGGTTAGCAAGAAGCAACCTAACAAACCCCTCCGTCTACATGTTTATGTTTGGCTACGCATGTGTGTGCAGGCATGCATATGCGTATGTGTCAGGAGAGTTTGCGAAGGCTTTAAGAGTTTTAATTTGTAGAGAGTTTACTTAATTTAATTGTTTACCTCTAGCTAGAATCTAATGACCCGTTATAAATGGCGATTTGATGATGAGTACAAAAATTTAACCCATGCTTTCTATCAACTGGTGTCGGACAATCAGTAGTTTCTGGATTTTGCGTATTTCTTTCAAACACTAACTTTTGTGATGACTCTGGAAATAGCAGGGCTTGATTTCCAGCAGACCACCTGAGTCAGGTGTAGATCATTAGACATAGGAGCAGAAATTAGGCCATTCGGCCCATCACATCTGTTCTGCCATTCAATCACATCTGATAAGTTTCTCAAGCCTATTCTCCTGCTTTCTCCCTGTAACCCTTAAAGCCCCTTGACAATCAAGAACCTATCTATCTCTATATTAAATATACACAATGACCTGGCGTCCACAGCCTTCTGTGGAATGAATTCCATAGATTCACCACACTCTGGCTGAAGACGTTTCTCTTCATCTCCGTTCTAAACGGTCTTTCCTTTACTCTAAGACTGTGCCCTCAGGTTCCAGTCTCTCCTACCAATGGAAACATCTTCCCAAAGTCCACTCTGTCCAGGCCATTCAATATTCTGTAAGTTTCAATTAGATCTCCCCTTCATCTTTTAAAGTCCATCGAATACAGACCAAGAGTCCTCAAAACGTTCCTCATATATTAAGACTTTAATTCCTGGGATCATCCTCATGAACCTCCTCTGGACCTGCTCCAGAGCCAGTACCTCCTTCCTGAGGTATGGGGCCCAAAATTGCTCACAATACTCTAAATGGGGTCTGACCAGAGCTTTATAAAACCTCAGGAGTAAATCCCCGCTTTGCATTCTAGTCCTCTTGAAATAAATGCCAATATTGTATTTGCCTTCCTAACTACTGACTCAACCTACAAGTTAACCTTAAGAGAATCTTGGACTAGTCCATTTGCTCCAGGTAAACTATCCACCTTCAGATGTTTCAGTTTTTCTAGCACCTTCTCCAGGTGATGGCCACCATACTCACCTCTGACCACCACCCTCCCCAGCTCTCTAGAATTTTTCAAATATTACTCAAGTCTTCCACCGTGAAGACTGACGCAGAATTATTTATTCAGTCCCTCAGCTATTTCTTTGTTCCCCATTACTACTCCTCCAGCGTCATTTTCCAGCAGTCCAATGTCCAATTTTGCCGTTTATATAGCTAAAGAAATCCTTGCAATCTTCTTTTATATTATTGGCTAGCTTACCGTCATATTTAATCTTCTCCGTCCTTATTTCTTACTTCGATTTCCTCTGTTGGGCTTTGCAGGCTTCCTAATCCTCTGGCTTCCCACTGTCCTTTGCCACACTATATGCTTTTTTTGCTTTTATGCTGTCCCTGACTTCCCTTGTCAGCCATGGTTGCTTCATCCTCCCTTTAGTATGCTTCTTTCTCCCAGGGATGAATTTTTGCTGTGTCTTCCAAATTACTCCCAGAAACTCCTGTCATTGCTGTTCCACTGTCTTCCCTGCCAGGCTCCTCTTCCAGTCAATTCTGGTCAGCTTCTCCCTCATGACTGTAGTTGCCTTTATTCAACTGTAATGCCGTTACACCTGATTCCACCTTCACCCTCTTAAATTACAGAGTAAATTCTATCATATTATGGTCATTGCCTCCTAAGGGTTCCTTCACCTTAAGCTCCCTTATCAAGTCTGCCTCATTGCACAACACTAAATCCAGAATTGCCTGTTCCCCAGTGGGCTCCATCACAAGCTGCTCCAAAAAGCCATCTCATAGACATTCCATAATTTCCCTTTCTTGCGATCCACTACCAACCTGACTTTCCCAGACCATCTGCAGATTGAAATCCCCCATGATCACTGTAACCTTGCCTTTCTTATACACTTGTTCTATCTCCTGTTGTAGCTTGTGCCCCAAATCCTGACTACTGTTTGCAGGCCTGTACGCAAGTCCCGTTATGGTTTTTTTACCTTCGCAGTTTCTCAAATCTACGCACACACATTATACATTATCAGACCCTACTTTGTTTTTTGCTATTGATTTAATTTCATTTCTTACTAATAATGCAATGCCACCCCCTCTGTCCACTTGCCTGTCTTTTTGGTAGCATGTATATCCCTGGATATTTAGCTCCCAGTCCTGATCCCCTTGTAGCCATGTCTCCGTGATGCCCACCCTGCCAATTTAGATCTGTGCCACAAGCTCATTTACCCAGTGTAATTGTTGTCTAAAGAACAGGAGGCTACTGAAAAAAAAACAGTATAGGTAGGTTAAGTGAGTGGGCAAAGATTTGACAACTGGAGTATAATATGGGAAAATGTGAAATTGCCCACTTTGGCAGGGAGAGTAAAAACAAAGCATATTTACATGAATAGTGAGAGTTTGCAGAGCTCTGAGATGCATGAGTATCTGGGTTTCCTTGTGCATGAATTACAAGAGTCAGTATGCAGATTCAGTAAATTAGGAAAACTCAGAATGTTATCATTTCTCACAAGCGTAATTGAGTACAAAAGTAGGGAAGTTATGCTTCAATATACAGGTCACTATATATATTGGCGTATTAAGCAAGTATTGGTCAACTTTTTAAGGAAGTATGCAAATACATTGAATGGCAGGGCAAGCTTGACTGACTCAAATGACCTATTCTTGATTCCTTTCTTAAAAAATGATCAGGTAAATACTTTATGTGAAAAAAAATAGAAGGCTAGGAGTAAACTATACAGCACTTTCAAAGGATCAGGCACAAGCATGATTGGCAAACAACCACTTCAACGCCCTATCATCTGAACTTTGTTGTCATAATGCTGGCTGACAAATAATGGCAAACACTGAAACCCAACTTGGTTGACTGGATTGAAAGAGTTGAGAACGATTGGCTGACTCAGTCTATGGAGAGAGGGATGCTATTACCTTACCTGGAAATGGAGAATGATATTCCAGATTAAGCCAAGGATCATCGAGGGGTTGCCATCTGCAATCTCATGTGCATCAATGCTGACCAGTCTCACCTACAAACAGTGAGACGTTCGATGGTTAATGATCAAAACATTCATTCAGAGTTACAGGACAGATATTTCAGATTAAGATTCCACATCACAATTCAGTGCTGCAAAAACAATTATGTATCTGAAACGTGTCAGAATGCTAAATATTCTTGAAAGTAACCTAACTGTAGGAGCGATAGGTCAATGTGTGGTAGGTAAGTAACTACATTGCCTGCATTGAATCAACCAGGTGGTGCACAGAGGACAGAGGGCAATCCTTTACAGAAACCACTAATGAAGAAGTTAACTGAAAATTTATTTTCAACCATAGACATGTGGAAGTTGGACAGAGGTTGTTGACATAGCCCCAACCCAAAAAAAAGTACTTACATATCCTTCCTCCAAAAACTGAAGGGCCTTTGCAATGTTATTCAGTCTGAAAATCCGATGCGTTGAATGTTTATACTGTTGCATCTGCACAAAGTAAAAGAGCCATCAGCCAATTCAAATCACACAAAAGACTGATGTGTGTCAAGAAAATTACTATTGTACTTAAGGTTTGCTGGTACATGCCAACCATACAAAATGATAAGCAGGGCCACACACCCCTTCTCAAATTTGCAGACCCAGCAAAATGTTACTTCACATCATATTTACAACATGCATGATCCTGTCCTGTTCCACATTCTAAAACTTCCAAAACTTCTTATTCAGAGCATGTGACCTCCTAGTTGTAAACACACCAGAGGCATAGCGTCATACAGCACGGTACCAGACCCATTGGTGCAACTCGCCCATGTCGATCAAGTTTCCCAGACTAAACTTAGTCCCACTTGCCTGCATTTGGCCCATATTCCTCTGATGCCTTTCCTGTTCATGTACCAATGCAAACATCTTTTAAAATATTGTAACCATACCTGTATCTACCATTTCCTCTGGCAAAACATGCGAACCAACCTCTGTGAAAAAAAGTTCTCACTCAGTTCCCTTTTAAATGTTTCCCCTCCCATCTTAAATCTCTGCCCTCTAGTTATGAACTCACCCACCCTAACGAAAAGACCTTTGCTATTCACCATATCTATGCCCCTCATGATTTTATAAAACTCTATAAAGGTCACGCCTCAATTTCCTATGCTCCAGTGGAAAAAAGTCCCAGCCTCTCCTTATAACTCAAATCCTCCAGTCCCAACAACATCCTGGTAAACCTTTTACTAAACCTTCTCCAATTTAATAATATCCTCCCTATAGCAAAACGACCAGAACTGTGCAAAGTACTCCAGAAGTGGCCTCACCAACGTCCTGTACAATCTCAACATGATGTCCCAACTCCTATACTCAATGTCTGAGCAATGAAGACAGGCATGTTAAACGCCTTCTTAACCACTCTGTCTATCTATGATGCAATTTCAAAGAACTGTGCGCCTCTACATCGGGGAAACCAAGTGGAGGCTTGGGGACCGCTTTGCGGAACACCTACACTCAGTTCGCACTAAACAACTGCACCTCCCAGTCGTGAACCATTTCAACTCCCCCTCCCATTCCTCAGAC